AGACGCATCCAGGACCTCCGCCGCAAGCCCCGTGAGACGCCGGCCGAGGAGGACAAGGCAGCCTTTCGAGGCCGAGAAGGCCAAGCACGTGGCGGAGCACCCCGACCAGAAGTGGACCGAGCCTACTCGAGCGCAGGGGGCAAGCACAGGAGCACCCTCATCAGCATCTCCGCAGTCGAGGGCTGGCGGGGCCCACGCAGGGGGCCCAAGTCCGCCAGGACCTTCGGCGCGCGCCTCGACCCCTGCGCAAGGCACTTCCGAGTGAGCGACGTGAACCTCGAGGGGGGCGCCTGGCGGCGCGACGTCGCCGCCGAGCGGGGCGAGGGCGAGACGGAGCGCTTCCGAGCAGGCGAGCCCTGGGAGCATTGCTCAACGGATGGCGCGACGTTCTGCTCGTGCACTCCGAGAAGGAACGCGCGGGCGTCTTCAAGGCCATCGACGTGCGGGGGCAGCCTGGGGCCCGGACGGGCGAGCTCGTCGCGTCCTGGGCCATCGGCTTCGTCGGCTTCGTCGAGCAGCAGCGCGGCCAGAGCCTCGTGTTCGCAGACTGCCTCTCGAGCCAGTGGACCGAGGCAGCGGCGCTCCAAGCGTGGCTTGAGAATGCGGCCCGCGCGCCCATGGCCCCCGACGGCTTGAGCTTCTTGCAGGGGCCGGACACCCACCAGCACAGCCAGCTCAAGGCCACGATGCGAAGTCAAGGCCGAGATGCACTGGGCCATGGAGCAGGACTGGATCCAGAAGGCCAAGACCGAGCCCGAGAAACGGTGCAAGTCCCCGACCCAATGGGGGCCCTTCGAGCGCCTCGACTGCGTCTCCGAGGCCCGCGCCCGCATCCGCGAGAATAACAAGGGCACGGTGCCGCCCCGAGGGCTGCGAGCGAACCAAATGCCCGCGGTCCGGCCGACAGAGCAGGGCGAGCTCAAGGTCGTCGCGGGCATGGGGCCGTGGAGCAACTCCGTCGAGCCCGGCCGCGGCGTCGAGCAGAGGCTGGCGAGCGAGCGCCCGGGGGGCACGCAGAGGAGGCCCGAGGGCGCGCCGCCCGTGCCCGAGTGGAGCGTCCTCGACGGGAACTGCTTCCACCTCGACGACTTGCGAAAGGACCGCGAGCAGGAGGAGAACCCCTGCCTTCTGGGGCTCCGAGAACTGGACCTCGAGCTCACCGACGAGCAGAAGGACACGTTCAGAACGCCGGAAGAGCGGATCAAGGATATCCAGTTCCCGCGCGCCCTCGATAACCGATTCAAGGCGGCGCGAACAAGTCAACGCAAGAGCAGGTGGGCGTCGAACTTCTCGGGCCAGTTCCCGGGCAAGCTGCGGCGCAAGTGGCAGCGCGCGAAGGCCGAGACTGGCGGCGAGGCCTCGCTCGAGCATCTGGGCCGAGGCGCGGCCGAGGCGAAGCTCGCAGGCAGGGCGCCGAAGGCCAAGGCGAGTTTCCCCCAGACGTTCAAGGCCAAGACGCAGGCGGAGAAGAACGCCAATAAGAAAGCGAAGACCAAGGCGAACGCATGCCTCGAGGTTCGCGAGGACCCCCCCCTGGCACGGCAAGGCGGCCTGCGTCGCCGGGGGGGTCCACGAGGGCAGGCGCGGCAGAGTGCAGGACGTCCGACGAGTCCCGGGCACCGAGGGCGCGCGCCGCCTGCGCGCCCACGAGGTGGAGACCGCGGCGATCGAGAGCAGCGAGGCCCGGAGGCTCACAGACACTCGTCACTTTCCGCCTGCTTCCGCCCGAGGCGGCGGGAGCGAGCGGGAGATAGCGGACGCGGCGGAAGCGACGGCGGAAGTTGGCGGGAAGCCGGCGGCGGAGGCGACGGCGGAATTTTGAAGCCACGAAGCGGAAGCAGGCGGAAGCTAACGAGTGCTCGTGAATCCCGAGCGCCACAGGTCACGAACGAGCAGGACTACCCATGCCAAAAAGCTCGACTGGCGCCAGACCAAACTGGCTCGCCGCACCGAGCTCGCCAAGGAGTGCGCGATCATGAACTGCGAGCAGATCGTCAAGGGCGACGCCTTCGAGCTGGGCGCATTGCGCGCGCTGCTGGGCGAGATCGAGGAGCGCGCGTGCGTCCCCGAGACCGCTCTGGCGGTCGAGCCCGCGGCGGCCCGCGGCGGCCGTCGCCCGGGCTCGAGGGGGGCAGGGCGAGGACGAACCCGCCGCCCAGCAGCCCGAGGAGCAGAAGCGCTGGGCCGAGAGAGCCCACGAGGCCGAGCACGTCCTACTCTGCGTGCACTCCGAGGCGCCCGAGCACTACACCTACCTCAAGGTCGGCGGTTGCTACAGATGTCCCTGCCGCAAGGTGCCTCCAGCTGCTCGCTCCGTGTCGGAGCGAATTATGGAGGCACCCTGGGCAGGGGGCACTTGTAGCAACGCCCGCAAAGGTGTCGAGGATTGGCGGGGGCGCCGCGGCGGAGCACCGCGACGCCCTCATGCAGCCGTCCGAGAACGCCAAGCAGGCCGAAAGGGCCACATGCGAGCGCGCACCTGCACCCCGCGATTTCTGAGGGGGGAGGTAGGTTTCACTTTGCTCGGGAGGTGCCGAACGAAGTGGACCCCGCCCCCCTCTTCAGAAATCGTGGGCAGGGTTCGCATGTGGCCTCCTGGGCCGCCGCGAGAATCCCCCGCGAGCTCGGCGCCATTGGCCTTGGCGAGACCCGCCCTGCGAGGAGCAACGAGATGTTCCTGGCCGACGCTTGGCCCTGCGGCCCGTGGGCGAGTCGCTGGATCGAGCGCGCCCTGCGCGAGGTCCGAGGCGAGGGCCGCCGACCGCCCGCGAGCATCAACGCGATGCGCGCCCGAGGCAACGCGTGGATCAACAAGCTCAAGGAGGCCAGCGACAACGACGTGGCCAAGGCCAAGGCAAATGCCAAGGCCAAGAGCAAGGCCAAGTCCAAGCCCTTCAAGGACCCCGCGGCGGTCGAGCCGAAGCGCGCCACCTTCGAGGAGGCAAGCGCTGCCGTCCCGGCCTGCGCCAAGCGCCTCTGGCGCAAGGGCGGCTCCAAAGGGTGCCGAACCTGCGCGGGCGAGTGGTTCGTAGTCGTGCGCAAGAGAGGTTTCTTGGCCAGGGGCGCCAAGGACCTCTCTTGCGCAGGCAAGCTGTAGCCATAAGACTCGCGATCTCTCGACCTAGTCTTGTGCCAAGATCTACAATGTCAGTCTACCCGAGCGCCCGGGATCATCGTCGTCAGCATCACCATCGCCGCCATCATCATCAGCATGAGCTTCGCCGAGAAAATCGTTGATTATCCCCGCCAGACCCCCGAATTGCATTATCCCCCGGGGGTTATTATCTGGGGCGCTGGGTTATTCATTATAGGGTCCCTGGGCAGACTATTGAGTGCTAGCGGATTCGTCAACCACGACCTGTGCACTTGCTAGTTTGGTTATACGTGCTCAGGCCAGGACAGATCCGATGTGAAAATCAGTTCGTCAACCTAACCATTTAGCAGCCGCGCGCTTGCCAACAGCTAGCCATTCATAAGTAGCTACTTACGTCGGGTGTATGTGGCTTCGATGAGTAGGCTATCGCTCACTTAACTAAGTATGCAGCTCGCCTCTATAACTGGCTAGTAACATCGAGTAAGTCAGCTAATCCTTTTCCTGAGGCCCTTGGCAGCTAAGCGGGCCGTCGCCAGAGCCCGCTCGGGGTGGGGCGCCAGTCCCGGGGAAAAGGTAGGGACGTCTGGGGGGTCTTGGAGATGCCTCTCGATGGGCCCGTGGCATCCGCCTCAGGTCTCCCGCAAGGTTTTCGCCCAGTGCGGCCCGCCCGTGGCGCTGATCGTGCAAGGCCGAGGGGCCGGTGTGGAGCGGGCCGGTCAGGATTTGTGAGAGCCCTGGAGTCTGGAGGCTTTGCGAGCGCTGCTGGGCAACGCCCGCGGTGCTCCCACACGTCGGTTTCCGACGATGGGCGCCGTCCCCACAAGACCTCCCAGGACAAAACCACGATGGACGTTTTTCGCAGTTGTAGGCCTCTGGGCCCCAGGACCGTCAAATTTATTCATCGGGGGCAACGATACGGGGGGAATAAGCATCCGGGGCGGATGCATCGACCCCAAGTCGTCCATTGTTCGCCGATAAAGGGCCCGATTGCCCCAACCTGCCCAGAAAGGCTCGGATTCGCTATCGGGGCCTCTCGCCGATCTATCGGCGATGTATCGTTGATTCCAGGTCGATGTTTCCCACTTGGTAGGCCTGCCCCCCCTATCGTCGCCCTTCAAGTCACAATGGAAAACTGGTCCTGGGGAATGGGTCGAGACCTCTGCAGGGGTCGACGCTGCGAAATCCTGGGGTGGGGGGTCTGTGGCCGCTTGTGTTTCCCCGATGTCATGGCGCTACAGCTTTGTCGAGCTGGGCGTCATCCCTTCGGTTTCGCGCCCCGCTGCCGGCTTTCAGCCGGCCGTTGCCATCATCCGATGGGCTTGTTTTCCACCACCACCACCATAAGTTGGAGGGGGGAAGGAGGTGGAGGACGAGGAAAAGGAAGACGAAGAGGAGGAGGAGGAGGAAGAGGACCCCCTCCCCTCCAACTTATGATGGTGGTGGAAAACAGGCCATCATCGCCGTGCCCGATGTTGTTATTTTGGGTCGTTGTTTGAAAGCCCTGGGGGCCCGTTAGTTTCAAACACCTCCCGTTGCGATTATGTTCCCGACGAGAGGGGATCCGCGGGCGTCCGTGATGACGTGCGCGACCATGTCGTGAGAAGAGGAGGAGGGGGAGGAGGAGGAGGATGAGGAAGAGGAGGAGGTGGAGGAGGAGGAGGAAGAGGAGGAGGAGGAGGAGGAAGAGGAGGAGGAAGACGACGACAGAGTCCTCCTCCTCCTCCTCCTCCTTCTCCTCCTCCTCCTCCTCCTCATCCTCATCCTCATCCTCATCCTCGTCGTCGTCGTCGTCGACCCAGCGCAGGATGGCGTGCGCGATCTTGTCGTGAAAGGTTGCTGCGATGTGCATCGTGAGGGCGGCGGCTCTGACTCTGGCGCGCCTCGGGTGCACAACGCGCGCGCGGAGGACCCGCCCTCGCGGCCGATCGACTACGGCACGCGCTGGGCGGAGCAGCGCAGCAGCGCTGGCGAGCTGGTCTTCGACACGAGGCCAGGCAGCGTGATGAGGACGGCGGCGGCCAGACCCTGAGGTCCTGTCGTCTCAGGTTGTCGAGCCGGGCGTTTTCGCCAGGCTTGGGACCCCAGGGCCATCACAGATCGATCCAGGTCGACAAGTGCCGCAACAAGAGTGTGCCTGGGGCTCCGGTCGTGATTTTTCAAAGCGTTCAACATGGTTCTCCCCCGTCGAGTCTCAGAGGAGCCGCGGGGGGGCGCTGCGTGGAGGGTGAATGCTCAGAGGAGGAGAAGGTACCGATGCCGCCGCTCGTCCTCCAGAGCCCTCATCGCCACGGCCAGACTAACTATCCTCGAAGTTCTGGTCAGAGAGCACCCCTGGAGAGGTCCGGGGAGTGGCGGTCTCGGTACCTGTTTGCTTCCAAGGGGAGGTGGGGTGGGAAGGACGGAGGGGGTGTGGGGGGAGGCGAAGGGGAAGAAGGGGGAAAAGCAAGGGGGGCTTGGGGGAGGAGATGACGAAGGAAGGGGGGTCGGTCTGGGCAGAGGAGAGGGGGGCGGCGAGAGGAGTAGGGGGAGGGAGGAGGAGGAGGAGGAGGAGGAGAGGAGGAGGAGGAGGAGGAGGAGGAGGAGGAGGAGGAAGAGGAGGAGGAGGAGGAGGAGGAGGAGGAGGTTGAGGAGGAGAAGGATGAGGCGGCAGTGGGATGGGAGGGGGAGGGAGAGGAGCAGGAGAAGGAGAGCGAAAGGCGTGGGGAGGCGGAGGCCCGGTCTGCTCATCCCTGCGGCTTCGGCCGTCCCCCAGAGGATTCCCAACGGCTGGCCCCACAAGGTGGCCCGCGGCCCAGAGCACGCCTGCGCGACCGCCTGCGCGCCGGGCGGTCGTGCTTCTTCTTCGGTCGTCTCCTCCTGTCTCTTCTCCTCTTCCTCCTCCACTGTCTCCTCCTCGTCCTCCTCCGCCTTCTCATCCTTCGGTCCTCGTCAACATCCTTCTCCTCCTCCTCCACTTTCTCGCCCTCCCCGCAGGCTCGCCAGGCTCGCCCCCAGCCCCCCCTTCCTATCTCGCTTCCCCTTCCTCCTGCTGCACCTCTTTGGAGGGAGGAAGAACCACCCCGATCCCCATAATTGGCGTTTTCTATAGTGTCTTGTTCTCGTGATGAACCGCCCAGTCCTGTTTGGAGACTTTTTGGAGCGCGTTTGTGAAAAGTCCTAGATTGCACGGATGCTCAATGTGATTGTGAGTACCTTGCCCTCTGAACGTTCCCCGCCTGCTCCTCCTCCTCCTCCTCCTCGTCCTCCCCCAAGCGATGCATATGTTGCCAGTGGGCCCTCAGGCGGCACGATTGGCTTATACAGTACCGTGCTCCTTCTCGTACCGCTCTTCTCCCTTCCCTTCTTGATGCTCTTCGGTGTGCGCAACGTGTCTGAAAGAGAACGTGGCAACCTCGCTGGCGACGATGCGATCGATGCCGACGCTGCTATCTGTCCGTTCAGTCTCGCTTCCAGCCGCGATCTCACATCAATATTCCAAGGAATCAAACGTGCGTTGCACCGCCGCTGCCATTGCCGAGCGTCCGTGCTTTGACTGGCCCGCCTTAGCCAGAATCAAACTATTCAGGCTCTCTGTGTTGTGGTGCATTTGCTCTGTGGGGATGGGGTCGAGCAGGCGAAACCGGTAGGTGCCAGATGCTGCGCGCGATGTGCCTCAGGAAGCTGACCTTGAAGCGGAGAAGTCCGAGGCGCAGGGCACCTGCTTCCTCGGAGGGGCCAACGGCAAGCCCAGACCATCCGATCCACCAAGAGGCCCGCGAGAACACCCGACGTGGCCAGTCGGGGCGAGAGCTGCGCACGTGCCCGCGTGCATTTCCAGCGCTCGGCCCTCGCTCGGCCACGCCCGCGGGCTCTCTGGAGGCGTGTGTCCGGCGCTGGGCCTCCGCGCGCTGTGGGCCAAGCCGCGTGTGCGCGTGTGCGCGTGAAGACCTCGCGTGTGGGCCGCGCCGGAGAGGGGCCCGCTCCTGACCCCGCGAGAGGCGCCCCGCTCCCCCCTCCGCTCCTCGCCCTGCCCCGCGGCCTCTTCCGCCCGGCCTGGCCTCTGCCCCTCCTGGGTCGACTACACGTAAGAGAGACCTTTAGTCGGGGTGACCTTTGGTGCGGGCTCATCGGGCTCCCCCCGATCGCCGAGCGCGATGCGATATAAGCGGCCCGCGCCCTCTGGTTTGGCCCCCTCGCGCCCCCAACAGCTGCGCACCAAAGGTCACTCTTACCCCTAGCCGACTGGGGCTGGTGGGTCTACTCGCTGGCTCGGCCGGAGCGCGCGCGCGCCCGCAGGCCTGCTGCTCGGCTTGGAGCTCGACCCGACCCGCGAAGGCTCAAAGTGTGTGAGCTCGTTCGGGCGTCGGTCCAGAATCCCCTTTCGGCTCGCTTGAGTTATTCATTTGTCTCGGAAGGGCTTTCCGAGTTGTTCCCCCAGACGAAAGCTTGGAAGCTGTCCAGAAGCTCCTGCCGAAGCTCTTTCCAAGGGCTTCCAGAGAGTCTTTTCTGGCGCCCGCTGTCTAGGTTTTGGACGCCACAAGTGTGTGCGCGTGTGCTCTCGCATTCTTGTATATATATCCACTGGAGGGTCAGAAGAGGCAGTAGCTCACAGAGAACTAGTGTGCGGCAGGTCTATCAAAGCCCTGGCTATCGAGCAGCAGTATGGTATCAAAGCTACTCCTGTTTTCGCATGTCACAGGATGAGCCAGACAAGGCGGGGATACAGCCATGGCGCTGAAATGAGGTCCAGATCGGGTTCGGAAGGGGCTCGGAGGTTCCTTGGATCTGCCCGCGTTCCCTGGCGATCTTGCTGTAGGAGGCCCGTCCCTCAGGCTTCGGCAGAAGAGGGGGGCACTTTCAAAACGAGAGGCACTGACGAGGCCTCCAGAAAGGAGCTCGGCCGTTCCTTAGAAAGATACGACTCGGTGATGAATGACGGGGCTTCGTACCTGATTTAGCGCTCCTTCTGGCAGTGCCGTGACCGTCGCGCACTGGGGGGAGGCAAGGCGCGACGGCGCGCAATTCGGAGGATCGTGCATCGCGACCGCGAGCGTTACGTTATCTCCACTGCCGCCACCGTTGTCGCCGCCATCGTCGCGCCAATCCTAAGCAATGCGGACTACATGGGCGCTCCTGCAGTCTGGGCATCATTGTGCTCGCGCAGGCACCGAGGGCATTGTACCGAGGCCGCAGGCATTGCGCGCGGCAGCTCGCAGGGACCGTCGGCGCTTCACGACATAGGGTGCAAGTGTGGCTTGGACATAGTTTTTTCGATCTCGTGCCGCAGGCATTGGTTCCCATTGGCGCAGGCGTTGCGCGCGGCAAGGCACCGTCGCCGCAGAAGCGTCACAACACTTGCTGAAATCACGGATCGGGCATCGATGTTTCGGCGCAGGCACGGAGAGCATCCCCTTTTCATCAGTGCAAGTATTGCGCGTGGTCAGGCGCAGGCACCGCAGGTATTTGAAGACATCAGGTGCAGGCGTGGCCTGCACATCATGTCATTAGCGCAAGCCCCGCGAGCCTCGTATGAGCTCGAGGGTTTTGACAGGACCAGGGGAGAGGGCGGGGCGGGGGGGGCCCTGTGCACTTCCTGGCCCTGCATTCGCGGTAATGCCTCCAACGGGGCAGCACCACCGGCGTGATTGCCCTCCAGTGAAGGCTTGGGCGGGCGGCGGTGATTCACGCGCGCCCCGCGCGCAGACAGCAAATTGTATGATTCTGCGGGACAGGCAGAGGCGACAGGCAGAGGGGTCGTTGTGGTGGCCTCTTTGGCCCGCTACGGCGTTGGGGGCCGTCTTGGGGCAATCTTGGGAGCCTCCTGGGCCGTCTTGGACGTTCTTAAGACCGCAAGATTCGCGAGCACCATGAGAGCAAGCATGCTGTGCTTCAGTTGTTTCGCCTTCTTGGACTGGCCCCCAGGGTATCCAAGACGGCCCAAGAGGGCTCCAGGACGGGCCCCGAGACCATCGTCGGCATGTGTTGGAAGTGTAGGTTCCAAACCACGCTCCGAAGGCACCTGGAAACGTCACGCTGAGAATGGTGGGAGCGCCCCAGATCGTCCAGAACACAGGGGTCTGTTCTCTTTAGAAGGTAGCGACAGCACTTCGAATGGGCCTTAAGGCTCTCCCATCAGTCCCTACTGCAGGGTAGCGGAGTCGGTACGGCGCAGCGGTTTGTCATGACACGCTGGGTTATGCTGTGCAATTACGCACAACCTAGGCCACGCAGTTGCGCAGCGCAACTCCATGCTAAGCTACGCACTGCTGTGCAACGCGATGCAATGGTACGCTATGCTACGTGATGTTATGCGAAGCCATGCTGTCCTAGGTTGCGCTATGGTGCGCAGTGCAATGCTAAGTCTTCACGTTGCGATCTGCATGTGCAGTGCTACTGCTACACCACAAAGAACGGGGCGGTGCTGCGCAATGATATGCAGAGCTGCGCTATGCAGCGCAACGCTGTGTATTGGAGCGCTCTGCGCTGCGTCACGTTGCAGCCCAGCGCGCTGTACATGTGGGCCTCTGGCAAAACATGCCTCTGGCTGGGGTTGTGCTAGCCCCATGCGGCGCTCTGCCCCGTGCGTCGGCCGCGGCAGCCGAGGTCTACACCGAGAGGAGCATCGGGTTCCGGGTGGCCAGCTGGACGCAGTGCCAGGCCCCGCGCCGCTTTCGGTGACAGCCGAGGAGGGCGCAGGCGCACGAGCAGCAGGAGCGGGACAGAGTAGGAGCTCAGAGGGAGCCAAGGGTACCGATCCCGCTGCTCGTCCTCGAGAGCCGTCGCCGCCACGGCCGTATCCTTCCCCGAGGTTCTGGTCATAGTCCGTCCCTGGCGAGGTCTGGCGGGTGGCGGATTCGGTATTCCTCGTTGTCTTTTTTCGTTTTCGTACTTGAGTCGCCTTTGGCTACCCCGCACAATAAAAATCCTCGTTGTCCCCCCAGGAGCGCGGGCGAGCGGTAGGAGGCAGGAGGGAGCGCTCGCAGAGAAGCAGGGGGGATCAATGGTCGGGGTCTTCGGGCGCCAGGGGCTGCTGGCGCCCTCTAGGGCTCCCACGGGGGCCTCCGGAGGCCCAGGCTTGCACTCGGAGTCAACCTAGAATATGACCGTGGTGCATCTCGCATTCTTGATAGCGGTAAGATGTTGTGAGCTGGTAGTTGCGACCATCTGTTCAGGGCTCCGTCATTCCGTCTGCCAAGACATCGGGTGCCCTCACAGGGAATTTGGAAGCCTTGCTGACACGACAGAGTATGACGACGAAGCCCATCTCCCACCTGGAAGAGGAGCTGGCTGGAGAAGGTGCAGATATTGGTTGTCGGGTCTTCTGCAAAAACACCTTTATAGTCATCGCGTTGCTGTGCGCGCATGCGGCCGAAACAGAGACGCTGATTATCGGTCCACTGTCACGCTGTTTTTTTCGATCCGTGCCGTATCGTTGAACTGTGCTTTCCGCCTGGCGCTCCGTGAGGTGATCTTTCGGGGGTGTAATGCTTCAGTCTGGTATTCTCCGTGCAGTCCAGCAGGCCGTTTCGTGGCGCCGCCTGGGAACACGCAGTGCGCCGGCACCGATGACTGCGCATGCGCTGCGGATTGGGCGCGCATGGTTTTGGTCACAATCCACGGTTTCCAAGTTCCAGGTGCATGTTGGAAGGTGTGTCGCACCCTCCCCATCTGGTTGTTAGGAGAGAGGCGCAGGCCGAAGAGGCGCCGTGGTCGATTCGATCTCGTTTCAGTCTGGCCTTCAAAGACGACCAAAAGTGTGCAGTGGGCATGAACTCTGATCTGCTTGCGTAGCCGAAGTTCGATATTGTCCCACGTTTGTGGAGATATAGATGCATGAGCGCCCACATGCCTGAGGGTCTGCGTGGCATCGCTGTTCCGAAGCTTGCGCCATCGGCTCTGATCCCTCACGCAATCCTGGAGATTTGGTGAGAGTGCCTGAGGGAGGGGAGGGTCATGCATTTAGTCTGATAATGATTCAAGTGGCTTACGCCATTTCGCGGACCCCCAGGAGGAGTGAGAGCCTGCCACGATCGTGGAAGGTATCTTGTCGGATGCATTCGACAGGGGTCCTCGCGGAGGCCTATTGGGGGGCCTCTGGGACCGTCGTGGAGCGACCCTGCGCCGTCTCGACGCTCTCTCGGTCTGTCTCGGCGCTCTGTCTTGGCTCTGAGCTCTTTGGAGGCTCCAGAGGCCTCAGGGGCGCGTTGACGAGCTCGTCGCCCCCCCCCCCCCACCCCCCCAACATTCTGGACCCCGGGCGAGGGGGAGAGAAGGGACGGGCGCAGCCAAAGGTCTCACGCGCCTTCTCTCCTCCAGCAGGTGGGGGTCGGCGGAGTTTTGCACACAGCGCACCTGGCTCCTTGCAAGCCCTGGGTCAGCGGGGCGAGGGGGAACAAGGCCCAACAGCATCCCCAGCCACCCGACTCGAGTACTCGAGTAGGAGATCGACTACAGAATTGAGGTACCTCAAACTTGTATTCTTCGTCGAATGTACAACAAGTGCATCGAATGTTCAGTAGATTTGCAACAAGCTACGCTTTTTTGAGATCCCACGTAAATGTTGGGTGAGTCAATTCTGTAGTCGATATCCTACTCGACAGTCTCTGAGAGCACAGTCGTCGCGCCTGCCCTTGTCAAGAGAGCAAGCAAGGCACAGACACAATCCGTTTTCTGGTATTTCCAGCTGCTTGCGGTCAACCCTGGCACCGTGTCAGCGCAGCATTGCCATGGATCTAGGATGGTTATTCCATGAGCCCCCCCTATGGTTTCATCATGATTATACTCGTCATGCCATGCTTGCACGAGACCACGAGACCTTCGCGGGCGCAGTGCGCTCTTGGACCGTCTTGGTCGCGATGGTTCTAACGAGCGTTCCCTTTCTTGACGTTGCCTTGGGACCATCTTGGTCTGAGTTTGCGCCGTGTTGGAGGCGTCCTGGGAGATTATGGGCCGTTTGGGGTCCGTCTTGACTTGGTCGCCGGGCAAAGTGCGGTTGTCCGGGGGTCGTTTGGGGCCCTTGGGTGTGGCCCGGGGCTGTCTTAGGGATTTGGTATGAGTTCTTGCGGCATCAGGATAGAATGAGGGTGACATATAGAAAGCATTGGAAACTGTATCACCCGTCAAAACGACTCGTCTGTATTAGTTTACTATGTACGGACATGCATCTACAATATATAGAATTACTCTCATGCCCAGTGAGGGGTGCTGGGCTTCCGAAATCGTTCGCCCATCGTGGCCACCCATAGACTGGGCCTCCGAAACCAGCGGCCCAGCGTGGCCCCCCATCGTGAAGTGGACAAGGCTGTTTAAGGTCTTCTACTTGCCGCCAGGGTGCCATTTCCCTGTGCTTCTGCCGATCGCCACCAGGATCCCTGGGAGCGGATGGGCTTGGTGGAGGACTGCTGAGGCCTCTCCCAGGCCTTCCAGGATTGGTGTTCCTCAGGACGTCTGCTAGCTCTGTGTGTGTTGCTTGCCTTGCCCGCCACTGCTCCGTGATGGCCCAGCGGACTCGCTTCCTTCTTTGCTGACGCGCGCGCGCGCCGGCGGTGAGCTTCGGACGGCTTGCGGCTTGCTGCCCAGTCCGCGACGCGCAAAAGTAAGTCTGTGGGTGCATTTGCGCTTGTACCCCGTTGAGCTCAGTCGACAGCGCGCGGCCCGTGTCGGCCCACATGTAGGGCTTCGGTGGACAAAAACACGCTGGCGCCAGCACGCGCTCTGAGGATTATCGACAGGAGCCGTTCCTCCTGGCGTCGAATGAACAAGAGCAGCGTGAAGATGAACTTTCGGAGGTGCGCCCGTTTTTTGTTGGATCGGCGCTGAACCCCCTCCCTGGCGCGCGGAGCTAGCGCGCGGAGCGCGCCAGGAGCGGCGCCGGAGGCGCGGCGCCGGCGGGGGCCCAGCGCCGACCCGAGAAATCCGCGAGGAGCCTCGAACGTGCATGTTCTCGTGCAGATGGTTCTCCTCTGTGGGGGGCCCGCCGCCCGCGGGCAGGCGCTGTCCATGTGGCTCGGCCAGCGCCTCTGCCTGCTGAGCTCCTCGCTGGGCGCGCCGCGGCTCTGCTTCGACGACGAGGGCTTCCGGGAGCGCGGCGCTCGGGGGGGGGGGCCTCTCGCGGCCCTGCGGGCCCCTGGCGGCGGCAGGGGGAGGGCAAGCAGGGGCAGGCGGGGGGGGGAAGGAGGAGGAGCAGGCAAAGAACGGGTAAAGGCGCTTCGGTGATGAGTCCGATCCTGACCACAGGAGGTCTGGGCAGGCGACCTCCTGTATTCCTGCGGGTGGGTTGTAGATGCAGGGCCGACGAGTCTCTCACCCGCGGCCTGCCCGAGGCGCCCCCATGACCCCTGGATGAGGGGGGTGCCCGTGCAGGTGGCTTATCCCAAGACAGAAGCGGCAGTGTGGGGGTCGAGGGTTTGGGCTGTAGTTGGCCCCGAGCACCTTACCCCGGGAAAGGGAAGGCAGGCAGCTCGCCCTCCCACCCTCCCACTCCCCGCGGCGCAGAGCGGGCGTCCTCGTACCTCGGTGGGCCGCAAGCCCCGCGCGCGTGGGCGGCGGTGGCGAGGCGGCGCTCTGCTCGTACCTCGACCCCACCCCCACCTCCCCATCCCCTGGGCAGGTGAACCCCCCCCCACCTCGACGGCCAAAGGGCAAGGGAGTACCGCAAGCAGAGGGGCAGCAGGCTAACGAAGCGCGGGAGGAGGAGAAGAGCCGGGGAGAGGCAGACAGGACCGACCGAGGGAGGGGCAGATCGCGGCGCAGGGTCGCAAAGGGACAAGGCGCGGGCGAATCGGAGGCGAGGTGCGCCTGTTTCGCTTACATGTCAGATTCAATTGTAAAGACATACCACTCCGAGGCCGTCAAGCGACTTGATACTGCTAGAGACTGCTGGAGGGGGCTCAGTTCATCTTCTTTCGGCCACAGACATCTCTTGACTCGATTGTTCCATGGTTTTGTTGTGTCCAGATCCTGTTCTAGTTGTTGTCCCTCCTTTGTCCGTCCCACACCGCAATCGCACCATCGCAAGATCACCTGGTCGGTTGTGTCCATCCTCTCCTGGGCCCCTTTTTGTAGTCAGGACCTCCGCTGTCTGTCCGACCCCCAGGGACCCCCTCTCCCTGCCCCAAGGTGCGAGCCCGAAGGCTAGAGCTTTAGAGCGCACACTTCCCCAGGGGTCGACCCCCGTGCCCGTGGGCAGCGGCCGCGAGCAGGAGGGGGCCCCCCCATCAATTGAGAGCACAGGGGGGAAGCTTACGAAATCGATCATCCTGCCATCGCCACGGAACTGCTTGATGTGTAGAGCTGACTCCCGTCCACTGCAGTGAACGCCAGCGGATTCCTGGGCATGATTGATGAACGTAAGTGTGATGGCGTGGTAGTGATCCGCTTCTTTCTCCTTTCCCATGCTTTGTTCTCACGAGCGTCTTTGAACTTGGGGACGTCCATGGTCAGCTGCTCCTTTGCTGTCGAGCTCGTTGCCGCCCCCTCCATAGCCCTCTGTACTGCTCTGCTTCGGTGTCTCCCACGATGATCCGAGCGGGGATCTGCTCTTTGGCGGGCTGGAGTCCTCGTGCTTGAGCTTCAGCGGCTATGTACTTGCACTTCCAGCCGTGAGCGCTCCGTGTCTCGGGATTCCTGGGGTCGAGCGGAGGGCGGCGGTTCGGGATCCATCCAGCAGGCTGCCACGTCTCTGGGTTTAGTGGGTCCCACGGCCTGGCTCGTGTTCCTCCTGTCCTCGCTCCTGTCCTCCATGAGCTGAGTGATGCCCCACTTCGAGGCCATCCTGCTGTCGTCGCGGATGGGTTCGTCGACCTGGCGCTTCTCGCAGTTGCGCGCGAAGGGGATGTTCCACCCGGGGTGCTTCTCCGTCATGTTGGCCTTGGCCAGCTCCACGTAGTGGGTGGACTGTTGGATGCTCCCTTTCCCAGGATGATCCTGTCCTCTTGCTTCTCCATGCCCTCTGCTGTGCCAACGCATGAGCACGCCTTGAAACGACCCAGGCTCATCTCGATGCGCATGTTGTGGTTCGCCATGTCGCGGATCACAGAACCGAGGCCGATGTATCGTGTGGTTGCCATCGCGTCTCATTGGCCCTCACGGGCCTGTAGTTTGGTTCGCTCGCCGCCTCTCCTGGCTGGCCTCCTCGAGCCATGATCGCTCCTCAAGGCTCGATCTCTGCCCGTGACGTTGCCGCTCCAGCGGCAGAAGTTGGAAGATTGGACGCCCACAAAGCTGCAAAAGATGCTGGGCCTGCTGTGGCGTCAAGACGCTAGGTCCCTGTGCCTGTCGATACGCAGGTAGATCGTAGGCAGGTAGGGCTCCATACCGCGGGTGCCGTTAGGACGTTGTGAAGCAAGTCGGTAGTTGTCGTTGCGTCTGTTGGGGGCTTCTCGACACAACTTCGGAGTCGTTGGGGGGGTCGGCTGTATGTAATCATGTCAACGCACTTGCCGTAGTAGTTGAGCAACGCAGGGGGACGGGCACATGTGTGGGATGTTGGTGGTGGGTGATAGTTATGCAGATGCTATCGTCGGACTCGCTGGTGTCGGTTGGGTGCTCGCCGCGTTCGAAGTACGTTATGTACCGCCTCCCTTGTTGTCCCACGTATTTCCGTATTGTGTATTTCGGCTTCGCTTTGCTCGGCATCGAAGCGTTAGGTGGTACAGTTCTTTGTTTCTGTCGCGTGGTTTAGCTAGTTACTGAATATATTCTAGTCGTTCTGGGTCGTTGCGTATGTCATTCCAGCTGTTCTCTCCGAGCATGCGGAGAGGGAGCACTCTTGGGTTCGGTTGAATAAGGCTGTTTTGCAGGGAGGTGTTGCGGCTTTCTCACGCTGCTGGCTGGCTGATGTTGGCCGTCTCGCATGTTGTCTTGCTCTGCAGCTACCTCTCCACCGCGCGCGCCATCTCTGTTCGGTTCTGGGTCTCTGCGTTGAGGTCCAGCAGCACAAGTCCCAGAGCCTGCTTGAAGAGCTGAGGGGGGGTAGTTGTCCAATACGGTAAATGTTTCATCTTCAACGGTTGCTGTTCCCCATGACCACCTTCGCGTGCGGTAGTGGTTTGAAGATGTGCATGGTTTTGCTTTTCGCGTTGCCGTCGTCCTCCTGGCCCTTGGGCTTGTATGCTTCCACCACCTTGCGCATCGGCGCCGTCGACCACGAAGTCGTTTCCATTCTCTGGCGACGTCGCATGCATCCACTGTTGTAGATTGATTTGGCTCCAGCCTGACGTGGTGTCTGGCATGCCCTCTGACACTAGCTTATTGTTCCGGGGTTCGATCGCTGCCGTGACCAGCGCCAGGGCTACGTGTGCTAGCGGCGTTCCAACTGTCTAACCGTTGCTTGTTGTTCGTACTTGCATCGTGTAGTCTCGTCATGCTTGGAGCGCCTCTACGGATAGTAATTTTGATTTTGGTATTAGCCAGAAGACCGAGTTCGTGTGCACCAGCTCCCTCAGATCCTGCCCGTTGCGGATGGGGGATTTGCTGGAGGTTGTTCAGGTTCTGCACGAAGTCTTGCTGGCCGTCTCTTTGTCCACGTTCTCTTCCTCCTGGTGGGTGGTGGACCGCCGCTTCCCGACGAACTGCCGAGCGAAATTTCGTTGCCGTGAGCTTTTGCCGCCACCTCCGATTGGGAGCCCGTGATGATCGTCTTCTCGGCGGTTCCTTCTGGTCCTTCTTTGTTTCCTGCCATTCCTTTCAGCCCCCAAGATGGTGTGTTGATCATCGTGTTCTTCGTCTCGTAAGCTCGTCACCGAGAGGGGTCCTTCGTGGTGGCAGCGGACGTGGGTCTAGAGGGCCTCTAGAGTTTGAGCCTCATGGCCAAACATTGTGCAAGTCGAGTCCTGAGAGACGTCTACTTCGTGCGCCCACCTGCATATGTCGCGGTCACATGTTGCCGTGACCCTCTGTCGATCTGGTGGCGTGGTCGTTAGGTGCCCGACGGTTCACGAATGAGTTGACGCATCAATGGCACTGGCTTGTCAGTATGATCACCGCGATGGGAGGCCGAATTCGGTGCACCTTCCCTGCGGTGCCCCGCCAGCGCAGCTGCTGGGGAGCACCTCTTGCCGCTCGCGTGCTCGCTCGCGCCCCTTGCTGTCGCTGCACGGTCGCACCACGATGTTTGGCGTGCGTCTTCCTCCTCCGCCGGCTCTCTCTCGTCCTCCCCCCATCAGTGCTAAGCACCGCTTTACGCGCACGCGAGGAGCTTGAGCTATAGTTTGTGGCTCGTGCTAGTTGGCCGTGCTGTGCTGCCTGCCAGAAGACGAGGGCCCGTGCTCCTGATGCGACGCCGCCGCCGCCACCTCACACTGGCGCTTCTCAGCGCATCCGAGTTCATTCTTCGCTGCATGTCGAGAAACTGACCCCGTCTGAGCCCTTGCTCGCACACCAGCGGTGCATTTCCTCTCAAGGAG